CACACACACACACACACACACACACACACACACACACACACACTCTTGATTATTCTAAATTAAAAGCAGTCCATTTCAGGGAGTAATTCATCATTTCACAGTGAGTCAGGATATTTAGGAGATGTGAAGGTTACGCATTTCTGAATTTCTCACTATTAGAAAACTGTAAAAGTGCATCTGCAAATAGTGACAAGTGGAAGCAGATACATTCCTTTTGGGTACTCTCTAGCACCTTTGGTAAATTTAAACTTGGTAATAGACAACTTTTAAGCAGGGCGTGAAGAAATCACTTTGGCTGTCACCTGTATTTGAATGGATTTCCTTAACATTTAGCAGTGAATCAATCTGAGTCTTTTTAGTAATAAAGAGTTTTCAAGGTATAAACTGTTTTCTAGAATAGCCAGTTACTTGAGACTTTTTGAAAGAGATACAACCAAGCTAAATTCCTCAGCTTTAAAAGCAAAATATCTCTCTTCTTGGAGAAGAATGCAATTCATTCAAAGAAATCTTGAGTCCACAATGAAAAAAGAAGCCTCCAGGCTCTCAAATTTCAGACAGAACGAACAGACCAGCACTACAGAAACATGTGGTGGTTGTGGTGGTTACTGTTTGAGTTGGAAATGACTCATAGCTGACCCTCCAGTGGGTTTTCAGAGGCAGTTTAATGTGCAAGAGATGGCACATCTTTTCCCTAAGGAGCAGCTAGCTGGTAGATTTGAACTTTATGCTGTAGGGACTGCAACATAGTTCCTTACCACTAGGTCATCAGAGCTTAGATAATTGTTAAGGAAACCAAAGAAACCATGCCTCTGAATTGTGACAGTACATCTCATGAACTGAGAAAAGAACAAACAAGTCTGTCTTGTGGGAAAGGTAACCAGAGTCCTCCTTAGAAGCAAGGAGGGTGAAACATCATTGCACATACTTTTGCACATTGTCAGGAGAGACCAGTCTTTGGAAAAAAGAACATGCTGGGAAAGGTAGAGGGTGAGAGAAAGAAAGGAAGACCCTCAATGAGAAAGACTGACACAGTGACTGCAGCAATGAGCTTGAGCCTAGCAGACATTGTCTGGATGGTAGAGGATAGGGCAGGGTTTCCATCTGTTGTTCCCAGGGTAGCCATGAGTCATAGCCAACTCCACAGCAGCTAAACAACAGCTGACATTGACAGAAACTTTAAGTAAAGATGTCTTTTCCAAAAGGTGTTAACAAGTTATCCAATCATCCTGAATTCTGGTAGTACTGAGTCCACTGGACAGTGAGATGAACCTGTGGCATTAAGAACCTGTAGCTGTTTCAATATCTACTGGCTAACGGAAAAAACACATGTAAGTCCACGTGGGATACAAGCTCTCCTCTGATTTAACCCACTTTATGTTAAGTTACCATTGAGTCAGAATCGACTCACAGCTGACCCTCCAGCTCATTTTCAGAGGCAGTGAGGAGACTGCCCATCTTTCTTGCCAAGGAGCAGCTGGTGGATTCGAACTGCTTGCCTGTGGTTTGGCAGCACAACTCCTTGCCACTAAGCCAGGGATCCCTGCTCTTTCTACCAAGGGAGTGGCTACTCTAAACTACACAGCTTGTCAAGACTGGATAGTAAGGCTAGAAAGAAAAACCAAATGCATTACTAAAAAAAAAGCCACAAAAGCTGTACCTCTGTGGTGGCTTGAATCCCCAAGGGGCTCAGTGGAAGGATGGACAACCTCCCAAGCCTTGGAATTTATAGTCTGGAAATCCAGTAGAGAGGCAGCTTGAGGTTAAATGACAGTGAGTTGCTTTTTCCTACATAACAGAACTACCCCAGAGCTTCAAAGGCTGTCACTTTTATGGAAGCAGACTGCCATATCTTTCTCTTACGGTGCAGATGGTGGGTTTGAACCACCAACCTTTTGGTTAGCAGCCAAGGGCTTAGCCACTGCACCACCAGTGATCCAATAGTAGAAAGAATACTGAATCCATGAAATTCAGACAAACTTGTTTTCCACATTTCACAGGTAGTCATTTTCCATATGCCATTTTACTTCTTGGGATAAAAATGTGCCCAGGGAAAAGGGAGCAAGAAATTAAGCTGACAACTTTCTTCTTTTGAGCCAATAATGATAGCTTCTTATTCTTTGTCAGTCACTCTTCTTTCTCCTTGATTGAAACAATACCTTAGAAAAATTAACCCCGACAGTCACAGCAATGACAGCCTTCCTGAGTCAGCTGTTGCTCTTTGGTAATTATCACTCATTAGGTATGCTGGTCAACCAAGGCTGACAGGCAGTGTCTAGGAGCTGGCTGCTGACACAGGGAATGCAGCAATGGGCTGACACAGCACAGATCGTGAGGAAGGCACAGGGCTGGGCAGGGTTTCATTCTGTTACATTCAGATAGGGCTTCTCTAGGAACCAAAGCAGACTTGACGGCACCTAAGGACGACAACAACAACAACGGATTCTTTCCTGAATATATTTGCGTTTGAATCTCTTTCAGAAGGAAAAACCCTACACTGGAACTGTTTGACAAACCCCACCTCCATCAGAGGTCAATCTACACATTTCTCAGATCAAAATAACAAACCAGTTGGACAGAACACAAATCTGTACTTCCCTCAAAGTTGCAGATTAGCCATAAAGTATTTTTAAAATCTTCTTTTAAAGAGCTGATGGCTCTAAATTACCTTCACTGTCTGGTCTTCAGATAACTCATGTACTAGGCAATTCATTTCTACTTGCTAGCTGGTTTTAAAATGCAATTAAATTCTAATTTTAGAGCTGAGGACTAATTCTGGGCAGAAGAACAACAGACATTTTCAGGTATATGGTTTGGCATCAGCTTTGTGTGTGTGTATGTGTATGTTTTCTTTTTTGGTCTCTGGGCTGGCAGTGTTGCCTAATGTTTTCCAGTCTTTTAAATGTAAAATCCTCAGGCAAGGGATAAAACACTGCTGCAAAGCGCCTGGGACTTAGTGGGCCTCTTTCCAATGGGCTTCAGTGTGGCCTTCACCACACAAGTCTAGCAGTGCTCACAAATCACACGGCTTGTTCCCATGGCGGGTTTATCAAGAATCTTGACAACTGGAAAAATTATGTGCCCTCCTGAGTTATCTCATTTTCAGGATCAACTGAATTTCATTTTCAGTGGCATCAAGAGTTCAAACTTAAACTTGGTTACTAAGAAAATACAGATTTTATTTGAGACATACAAAACCCAAAGATTTAATGATGGAATTACAGGGTTTTTTTCTGGCTTCCTCCAGGTAGCTAGGGAGCTCTGGAGGCTTAGTGGTAAGGAATTGTGCTGCCAATGCAAATGTATGTGGTTCAAATCCACGAGCTGCTCCACGGGAGAAGAATGGGCATTCTCCTCCCATATGATTTACTGCCTCTGAAAACCCACTGGAAGCTCAGCTGTGGATCAGTTCCGACTCTGGTACACAACAACAACAACAACAGGTAGCTAAATGATATGATTAGTACAATGACAGCACTGCTGTTTCACAGATGGCAGGTTCTTGCCTGAGGACCCTTCGGAGGATCACACTGTAATCACAAGAATGCACATCCCAGGGCAGGGACTTGCTACAATTTTGAGGTTCAAAGACTCTTTAGTTTTAAGTCTAAGCAGACCACCTTCTCAACACACAGCACACATTTTTTTCATGGTGCTCTATGGATAATGTTTGGGACATACCTTGTTAAGTGCATCAATTCAACTACAACTCACAGCAACCCTATGAACAACAGATCTGAGCCTTGCCGGATCCTCTCCCATCTTCATAATCTGTGCTATGCTATGTGCAAGTTCATTGTTACAATCACTGTGTCAGTCTATTTTGTTGATGATCTTCCTTCCTTTCGCTGACCCTCCAGCTTTCCCAATATGATGTTCTTTTCCAAGAACTGACCCCTCCTGACAACATGCTTAATAAAGTATGTGAGGTGAAGTTTCACCATCATTGCCTCTAAAGAACACCCTGGCTGCACACCCTCTCAGGTAGACTTGTTTGTTCTTTTGGCAGAGCATGGGATAGTCAATACTCCTCTCCAACACCATAATGAAAAGGTATCAATTATTCTTCTTTCACCCTTAATTCACTGTCCAACTTTCAGATGCATGGCAGGTAACTGAGAAGATTATGGCTTGGAACAGGTGCACCTTAATTTTTAAACCAACACTTTTGCTTTTTAAGCATTTTAGAGAGGCCCTTGACAGCAGATTTTCCTCAATAAAATAAGCCTGCTGATTTCCTAGCTGCTGTTACAATGGGTGGTGATTATGCGGGCAAAGTAAATTAAATCCTTAACAATTTCAATCATTTCTCCATCTATCATGATGTCGTCAGTAGGTCCAGTGGTGAAGATTTTTATTTTCTTGATGCTGAGATGTACCCCATACTAAAAGCTATAATCTTTGATCGTTTGCAGCAAGTATTTCAAGTCCTCTTCACTCTCAGCAAGCAAAGCTGACATATGCATAATGAAAGTGGGTTGCTGGAGACTCTTCCTCCAATCCTGACCACATTCTTCTTCATACAGTTCAACTTCTTGAATAATTTGCTCAGCATACAGATTAAACAGAAAAAGAGAAAGGATGTAACACTGACACCTTTCTCTTTATTTTAAACCATGAAATGTCCCCTAGTTCTGTTTGGACAGCAGCTTCTTGGTGTAAGTGTAGATTTCACATGAACACAATTAAGTTTTCTGTGATTCCCATTCTTCTCAATGTTAGCCATGATTTGTTATGATCCAGAGTCAAATGTCTTTCCATAGTCAATAAAACACAGATAAACATCTTTATGGTATTCTCTGCTTCCAGCCAAGATCAATCTGATACTACCATTGATACCCCTTATATCATAGCCTCTTCTGAATTCAGCTTGAATTTCTGGCAGTCCTCTGTCAATGTGCTCTTTCAGTCATTTTTTTTTAGCACTGAAAATTACTTTATTGCATGTGCTTTGGGGGCATTGGGAACCCTGGAAGCGAGACAAAGGGGACACTCTAGGCCCCTCAAGGTGGCCCCACAGGGACCGGAATTTGGGGTCCTGGGGCAGCTGCTCTCTCTGCACTCATTCTGCTGAAATCTGGCTCTGTTGGCCCTGGCTGTGCCCTCATGCTGTTGCACACGGTGGTGACGATCCAGGCCTTTTCATCCGTGAAGCTGTGGTGCATCTGCTTCAGCTTCCTGAAGGTGACACAGTGCAGGACCATGCCTGCCAGCATGAACAGGAGGCAGCACCCCAATACCTGCTGGTTGCGTCTTCATTGCTACAACCTGGCCTCAGGCCCCTGCGGTGTCACGTAGTGGAACTGGGCCCAGTACAGTGCATTGGGAAGTTCCCAGGAGATGTGTGCATGATAGCAGGGCTGTGATAGACTGCAGTGCATGGAGACTTCAGGGGTATCCAAGAACAGAGCTGGTGGTCATAGCTGTGGTGGCCCTGTTCAGTTCCATAAAGAGGCTGTGCAGGACTGGGTTCCTAATGGTCCCAATTGGGGTGCAGTTCTCTGGACTTGGAGAAGAAACCTCATTTAATTTCTACAGGGCTGGCTCCAAGATGCATGCCTAGTAATTTATAGTAGTTACTTGAGCCAGACCTCTGACTCAGGAGTGTAGGGCTCTGTTCCGCATCACTCGCAGGATCTGAACCACCAACCTGGCTGCTGAGACCTCCTAAAACCTTCACTCATTTTTTTAAAAATAATCTTCAGCAAGATTCTACTTGCATATGATATTAATGATATTGTTTGATAATTTTCACATTTTATTGGATCACCTTTTTTGGGAATGGGAAAGTAAACAGGATTTCTTCTAGTCAGTTGGTCAGACAGCTGTCTTCCAAATTTTGCAGCATGGACTATTAAGTACATCCAGGGCTACATTTGTTTGTTGAAACATGTTAATTGGTATTCCATCAACTCCTGGAACCTTTTTTTTGCCAATATGCAGCTTGAACTTCTACCTTCATTACCATTGGTTCTTGCTCATATGCTACTGCCTGAAATGGGTCCATGTCAACCAATTCTTTTTGATATGGTGGCTCTGTGTATTCCTTCCAACTTCTTTTGATGCTTCCTGCATCATTCAAGATTTTGCTCATGGAATCCCTTAGTATTACAACTTGAGGCTTGCATTTGTTTTTCAGTTCTTTCAACATGAGAAATGCTGAGCATTTTATTCCCTTTTGAGTTTCTAAATCCTGTTCTTTGCACACTTTGTTATACCATGGCTACCAATGGGAAAAATCTCCTTAATCTCCTCTAGTTTCTGCTGCCCAAATAGCATAAAATGTTCTGATCACTAATAGCTCAGCATACTAGAAGACAGCTGCCTTTGAGAACCTATACAAGGCAGAGAAGTTAAACTGAGAATTGATAGGTGAAAAAGCAGATCTGAGTAAGGGCAGAAAACCTCTCCAGAACTAAAACCAAGGAGACAGTTTTTCGTAAGCAGTGAGAAAGTGAGGCTCACTCCATTACCTCCCTGACTTAGCCTGTGAGGGACTCACAGGGAGGCAGCAGCTCTCCAGTTCTTCGATGGCAGGGCCCCAGAAACCTCATCACTCTGGATTACCCAAAAAGGACTGGCAAGCAATGTTTAAAAGTATTATATGAGGGGATTCATAAAGCCACAGACTCATGAAGCCCAATTCGCATTGGGTTCACTCAAAAGCTTCCTGAAGCTTTTTATTTCAGATGTAGATTAAAGGTTAAAATAAATTTCTAGGAAAATTATCTGAAATTAAGTGTGGAGTATGGTTTGGGCCTGCTGTACCTTCTGGGTAACTAAGGATTTGATTAGCTCATTGATGACCAAACTTCCCTCACAAGCACACCCAAAACAAAATCCACTGCCATCAATTCCAACTCACAGTGACCCTTCACTGGGTTTCTGAGACTATACATCTTTACAGGAACAGACTTTTTCACTTTTATCCCACTGAACTTTTGGTTAGTAGCTCAATACATTATATAACACACCACTCCAGCTCCTTCCTTAAGAGCAAATGCTTCCCAAAATAAGACCAAATTGGGGTTTATTTCAAGGAGAGGAGCGAACTGGGGATGGGGGTGGGGAGAAAAGTGCAACAATGAATGAATGGAATTCCAAAATCTCTGTAGATGTTCACTGAAATTAATAATACTAATAAAAAAAATTGGGGTTTATCTATTTTTCTGAGGGCAGGACTGAAAAGGGAGCAGAAACCTTGTAAGTTACTATGTTTGCTCATTTTAATAAGCTTTTTCTGAGCACATTCTCTGAAATAAACCTCTACTAAGTTTTGCAGTTCAAATGACCAAACTTTCAATAGCTTTCCTCAGGAAAGTTACAATCTGTAGGCAAAAGAGACATACAAATTATAGTAACTTACAAGTTATGCTCCAGAGGAAAAGCCGCCTGCATAAGACTTTGGGAGATAAGGAAGCAATTAATTCTGCTGCCTGCAGTGGTAAATTAGAAAATATCTAGGATTATTCTGAAAAAGCAGCTGAAATGAACATGACCATCCTCCTCTTTAGGTTCTTTCTGGCCCAAACACTAATGTCCAGACAGAATGGTCTAGGCATTAATTCACTATGTAAAAGTTCAGTTTCAGATGAAACTAATCTTAAAGAGCAGGGACCAGCTATGGTGCATGGACATTACTCCAGCCACACTTTGATCTGCAAGTTGTAATGGTCAAAAAAATCTATCCTTTTGGTCTTATCAACTGGGGTAAAGATCAGTTACATAAAATATTTTTTTTAACAATTAGAAAACTTTAGCATCCCAGACAACATTTATTTTAAAAACTCAGAACAATTCTAGAAATATGGAAAAGGCCAAGTTTATGTGCTATTCCATCAACACTGCATAATTTATGATAACTGTGTTGTTATCTAGTTAGAGGTACGTCTGTATATTCTAGTTCTAGGAAAGGTTATAGCAATTACAGAATAAAAATCAAAGGCTTTGAACTTTTAGGTAGTAAATAAGAGCATTAATTTCAAAACTAAAACATGCTATACATATTGCAAAGGCAGGGTTTATTAACTACACTATTTAGTTAAATGAACTTGGAAAGCCTATTTACCTTTTTCATTAATTCACTTCTGGTTGTAAACTGTGGCAAATCTTCCACTTCAATCCCATCAGCCATTTCCATCACCTTGTCTAAAAGGTCTTTGTTGTAACTGCACAATAAAAAGTAGAAAGGTAAAAAGCTTTTGAAGAACGATTTGTCACTTCAGGTTAATACAAAATTGCAGCTTGTTGGACTGTAACTCAACTTGTAAAAGGCTTATTTGATACTGCAGGAAATCTATTATATGTTTAACAGCAGGTTAGGAAATAATTCTTCCTGCCTATGATACAGAAGTGGGTTGCGGGAACACCAATACAGCAGGTGTTCAGATACTTATAAAAATAAAGGCACCATATATTTGGCAGTGCATATTCTTGGATATGGTTTGAGACCCAAACAAAAAGCAAAAAGTTTTTCAAGACATTTGGAATGTTAAGTCTTATAAAAATGACATTATTTGCTCATTTGCTCAACCACTGATAGATCCTGTTAACCAGAATTCACTGGGGAACGTGGAAGGTAGGTGAAGCAATTGATACACCTAGTTTCCAGATTCTTTCCACACACTCTGCTGCAATTATTTTCAATGTCTGAAAACAAAGCCTAGTGGCCTATGCTTGGAGATACCAGATGACCGAAGTCAGGTATGAGCCATCCTGTTATCCTATGGCCATTTCACAAAGTTCTAAAAAAAAAAAAAAAATAAAAAAGATATGGGAGCCCTCAGATTTACTATCTTCCCACTGATGGGATGAAAGAACCAAAAATCAAAGTTGTTGCCATTCAGTTGATTCTAATTTACACCAAACTTACAGGACACTGCAGAACTGCACCATTGCTTTCCAAGAATGTAATTTTGGGGGGAGATTTTTCACATATTTTTTTTTCCTTTGAAGAGTTGGTGGATTTGAACTATCAGCTTTATGGTTGGCATAGGAGCTTATAATCACTGTGTAAGCAGGGCTCCCACAAAATCAATTGATTGTCCATGGAATGGATTCTGTCTTAAAAGCAATCCTGGGAGACAGAGCAGACCTGCCCAGAGTTCCCAAGGTTTATTCTTTACAGACGCAGACTGCCACATCATTTTCCTTTCTTAAGGAAGAGCTGGTGGGTTTGAACAGCTGACGTTTTGGTTAGCAGCTGAGCACTTAATGGTAGCAACATGAGACTCCTTCTGGTGGGGTTTATCTAAAAGCAGGTCCCTGCCTTCTTAGCAGCCGGGATGCAGCGGGATTTGGACCTTGACAAAAAGGCATCGGTTATTTTTCATACAAGGGGCTGTAAACAGAGAAGACTGGCTGCTCTTCAAGGGATGGGATAGAGGAGAAAACAGTCAAGTGACACACATTACAGCCTACCAGAAACTGTATGACCCTATCCTTTTACTTTCCTGCCCACTGTATGTTCGTGTGTGAAACGGGGATTTTGGCGTCTGCACGGTTACCATGGAGGTTAAAGGAGCGAAGAGACACTCTGTTCAAGTGGTTGGGGCTAATAATAGCACTACTAAAAATAACAATGGAAACTTCAGCGCCTTGTATGTATTGTGCCCTGCGCTAAGTGCTTTACACCCTTTAGTAATGTAGTCACCACAAGGCATTTTCCAAATGAGGAAACGGAGGCTCAGTGTTATCTTTCTAGGGCTTGCTAGAGGGGGCTCATCCCGGCTCCTCAGGCCCGGCCGAGGCAGTTGGAGGCTGGGGGCGGATTCAGCCTGAAGCAGACGATCGACTCGGTGCCCAGCCGTGGAAGGGTCGGAGGGCAGGGGACGGGGTCCGCACCTGCAGCCCAAGAAGAGGTGGTTGGCCCAGACCATGGAGAGAGACAGGAGCTGGTCCAGGCGGCCGCTGCCGTCGGGCGGGTCGCGGTAGTCTGGCAGGTGACGTAGGATGAACTCCATCCGGGCTTTCCATTGCTTCTCGCTTTCCGAATAAGTACGGAACTGCTCCGCGAAGTCGGCCGCCTGCCGCACCCCCGAAACCAGTTCTTCCACCGCGGCGGCGGCCTCGCCACCCACCATGTCGCTCGGCGTGGCCAACAGCTTTATGTGTCCGCCGCCTTCCCGATACGCACCGCGCCAACGCGCGGGGGCTAGAAAGATCCCGGCAGCGAACGACTGCTCTGGAGGACCTGCCTGGAGCGCCCTCGCGGGGCGTGGCTGGCCTGAGGAGGCATCAGCTCGCCAAGCCCAGCCCATCAGACCTGCAGTCTCAAGCTTCTGGCGCCAGGCAACTCCGACACCGCAGGGGAGGTATTCCGACCACCACTCTTCGAATATGGAGGCGGGGAAAATAAGTCCCCAGCGCACAGAATCAAGGCGCCACTTTCCTGCAAGTAGCCAACCACATGACAGCCAGAATCTCACTGTGTCCCTGATACCTTCCAGAATCCTCAGGTGCCATCTCATCCTGGGTGGCTTCAGGGATTTAGGCCTCAAGTCAGTCATTACTGAGGTTTTATACATGTGACCGTTAGGGATCCATCTTCTACAGGGTCTCAATGGCCTCAACACTTCCTAGAGTAAATCACCTACCTGTTCGTAATCCTGGTCAGGCAATTTGATAGGTTCTGGCTATGCAAAGAAAGCAAACTCACAGTCCTGATCTAATGAAATTTGCTGTCTAGTGGAGGAAGCAGGCATTAGGGGAAAAATTGCTCAAGTAAATGGAAAATTTTAACTGTGACACATTAATAGAAGTGTTATGAGCATGAATAAGCAAAGGACATGATCCAGATCTGGGATCAGGGAAGGCTTCTCTAAGGAAGTGGTGAAAATATGAGGTACGTGCAGGAGTTAACTGGCAAAGTGAAGGGTCTGAGAAGACCATGGCCAGAGAGAGCCTGACCAGATGTGTGACTGGATGCTAGAATGGCAGGTAAACTGGAAAAGAGACTGCAGGTCACCTGAGCCAACATACTAAAAGGGATTGGGATAGAGAATCAAAAAGGAGGAGAATGGACCTGAGGGTTTGTTTAACTCATGACACTGCTCTCTATTCTGGGGTCAAGTAGCAGATCCCTTCAGAGACAAGATGACTTCCTTGTAAGTGGAAACTTCCCAGTCCCTGGAAGCATTCAAGTACAGTAACTAGGAAATCGTTTGACTATCAGTCTGGAGAGACTGTGAACCTAGCAGGTTTCAGTGTGGGGTTGGAAACTGGACAGAATTGGACCTACAACCCAGGATCTAGGACTCCAGCACAGTTTTTATCAAATCAATGAAGCCCAAGGGAGGAGCTTCTGCAGCTTCTATTGGAGCTTCAGGGCTCGACATATAGGAGCCAGTTACAGCTGGGAAATACCGGGCGTTCAGAGCAGTAGACTGTGCAGAGAGACCGTCCATCCCCAGGCTCAGTGGAATCCTTTATGGGTTAGCAGTAGTGAAGCATGCTATTCACACCCAAGTGGCCAAGGAGAGTATAGCAGGGCATTTGAAGCAGAAAACAGCTAGCTTTTGCCGGCAAATAAGAGCTGGGGTTCCCAAAGTTCAACATAGATCATTTTAAAATAACAGATTTCACATGAATAGACCTTGAAAATATTATGCAAAGTGAAATAAGTCAGTCATAAAATGACCAATATCACATGATCCTACATACATGACATTTCTAGATAGGCAAGTAAACAAAGAGCAAAGTTTATTAGTAACCAAGAGGGACGAGTCCTTGGAGAAGGACGTCATGCTTAGAAGAGTGGAGGGACAGCACAAGAGAAGAAGGCCCTAGATGAGATGCAATGACACAATGACTGGGGTAACAGGGGCAGGTGTGTCAGAGACAGACCTCAGGATATCTATTCTGATAGATATCCTGAGACTGGTTCAGGATAAGGCAGGGTTCACAGCCAGTGTGCATAGGGTCACTCTGAGTCACAGGCAACTCGAAGGCACATAATAAGAATAACATCAGTGCCATTAAGAAGAGAGGGGGGAAAGGAAGCACTTAGTGCTTAGCAAATACAATTATCTAGGGTGATGGAAAAATTTGGGACTAGATAAGGGAATGGTTGAACAACATGATAAATATACATGATAAATATAAGTTGCTGGCATTGATTAAACATATGAAGAATATTGAAGTGAAAGTTTTGTATATTTTTGAATATACAATTCTCTTTCTCTCTCACACACACACACACACACACACACATACATAGACAGCAGATTTCCATCCAGGTAGTTCTGATTGCAAGTCAGGTGGTCTAACTTTGAAAAACAATCAGTGTTATTAACAGCTTACTGGGCCAAATTATTGATCACCTTATTGCAGTTCTCACCACTGGATCAACTGGCAGCATCATGATAGATGGAGAAGAGATTGACTTTGCTGACAATTTATGCCTGCACAGGTCCACAATCGACATTCTTGGCACTAGCAGCTAGGAAATAAAAAGATGAATTGCTTTAGGAAAATCTGCTGTCAGAAATCTTCCAGAGTACTGAAGAGCAATGATGTCAGGCTAGAGACTAAGGTACACCTGATCCAGGCCAGAGTCTTCACAATTATTTCCTATGCATCAGAGAGCTGGACAATGACTAAGGTATCAGAAAAAGAATTGATGTTTTTGAGTTGTACTGGTGGAGAAGAGTACTGAACAAACCATGGACTGCCAAGAGAACAAACTGGTCTATCTGAGAGAGGGTGAAGGCAAGTTGTTCCTTGTTTGAAGCTCCATCTCACATACTTTGTGCATGTTGTCAGGAGTGACCAGTTCAGAGCTATTGTGCTCTGAAGAGTTGCAGTGGTCTTGATGGCACATATTAACAACAACAATTGCACAATGCAGAGGCTGGGTCAGAAATATGAACCCAGGCTCTGAACAGCAGCTGTAATTACACAGCCAGCTCCACCTTGGGTGTGAAAAAGCTTAGAGGTAATCCAGCAACCACCTAATTTAGCATCATCGTTTTAGTGTAATGGTTGTTGACTACAACTCATAGCAACCCTATGTACAATAGCTTTGAACCCTGCTTTATCCTGAGCCAATCTCACAGTCTATGACACAGCTACCCTCATTACCCTAGTCCCTGAGTCAATCCATTTCATCCGGGTTCTTCCTCTCCTGCGCTGTCTCCCTTCCAAGCATAATGTCCTTCTCCAATGACTGGTCCCTCCTGGCTACATGCCCAAAGTATGTGAGACAGAACCTCAAAAATCCTTGCCTCCAATGAACACTTGGTTTCACCCTTTCCAGAACAGACCTGTGTGTTGTCTTGGCAGTCCTTGGTGTGTTCAGTACTTTTCTCCAGCACCACAGCTCAAAGGCATCAATTCTTCCGTCATCCTTAGACATTGTAATGGTACATATACACACATATATATATATATCCAGACTTAAAAGCATTTTAGCATACATATCTGTTATAAGGAAAGCCTACAGATAGATAGCTTTTTAAACAATGTTATATTGTTAACATTATGTCTTCAAAAGTTGAAGCCATTAAAAACTTTAGATATTATCAGCTCTTTACAGAGCCTTGAAGCAAATTAAATTACTGCCCACTTTGTTGTTGTGATTGTTGTCTAAATATTTCATGTTTTCTTAGAGTGGCTGTTGTTGGTGCTTACCATCTAGTTGGCTTTGACTCATAGCTGATCCTTCACGGGTTTTCAGAGGCAATAAATACCACAGGAGGAGACTGGCCAACTTTCTTCCACAGAGCAAAGGATAAATTCACATTGGCTGGTAGAGCAGCTCCTTGCCACTAGGCCACCAGAGCTCCCTCTAAGAGTGGAGTACTTACAAATATACTCTCATTTATCAATATGGTTAGGTTCCAAAACTCAGGTCATTATTTTAAAACTTGCCTTATCCAAAAACAGAAGATCACTACATCATTATATAACTGCTAAATTATATCATTCTGAAACTGCCAAGGAGTGTCTGGTTGTCTAGAGGTAAAGAGTTGGGCTGCCAGCTCAAAGGCATTTTGAATCCACCACATGTTCTGTGGGAGAAAGATGGGTAATCTCCTCCCTTCTATGCGATTTACAGCCTCTGAAAACCTGCTGGAGAGTCAATTATAAGTCAGTTCTGATTCAATGGCACGTAATAACAAAACTGTCAAAGCATTGAAAATTATGGTCCAGCAAAATTGACATACAACCGTAACTACTAATCAGAGCTACTGGCTCCCCAGTGTCCAAGATTTCAGATATATGTTGTTAATACCAAAATATAGTCAGATTTTCACTATTGACATGAGTACACAATGTTGACTAATGTGATAGTTGATAAATAAAGAGAGGGTACTTAGAAAAGTCAAACTTCTCTAACTCATCTTTTAAAAATATCTTTATTCAAAATGTAGTTTGGATGCCTTAAACTTTACTCATCCAGTGGTTTTGGTATATGCATAGACTTGTGTAAATATCAACACAAATTAAACATAGAACATTTTCATCATTCCAAAAGGAAGCCCCACACCCATTAACAGTCACTTTCCATTTCCTCCAGCCCTTGGCAACAACTTCTTACCATCTGTCTTTATAGATTTCTTATTCTAAACATTTTATATAAATGGAATCATACCATAGTGGCCTTTCGTGCACGAATCCTTTCACTGAGCATGTTTGCAGGTTCATTTCTACTGTAGCAGGAATCAGTAGTTCATTTTTTTTGTATAGCTGAATCTTATTTTATGTATAGATATACCACATTTTGTTTATCTGCTTACCAGTTGATGGACATTTGAGTAGCTTCCATTTTGGCTATTACAAAAAATACTGTCATGAACATTAATGTACAAGTTTTTGTGAGTGTGGTCATCTTGTGATTGGTATATAGATAGAAGGGGAACTCTGGTTGCCTAGTGGTAAGGAGTTGTGCTGACAATTCAGAAGTGCTTAGTTTGAATACACCAGCTGGTCTGTGAGAGAAAAATAGACAATCTCCTCCTATGGGATTCATAATCTCTGAAAACCCAATGGAGGCTGAGCTATGAGTCATTTCTGACTTCAGAGCAATGACTTTTAACTTTTTTTTAGATTTAGAGAGAGGAATGGAAATTCCAATCGATGTCAATGTTTACAATATCAGAAACTAACGATGCTGTAGAATTTTAAATACTAGTTAAACACCACTGTATTTAACCTTCTGTAGAATTTGACAGTATATTTCACATAGAAGCTCCTCCATTCTAAGTGTCTTCTTTACACCATCTCCAACATTTGTTATTTTCCTTCTAATGCTTTTGTTTGTTTTTCATTTACTACAGCTGTCCTCATGAGTGTGAAGTGGTATCTCACTGGGGCTTTGATTTAACATTTTTCTAATAACTAAAGAAAGTGAATTTCTGGAAGTTCCATGTCAATGTATGTTCTAGTCATTTAAAAATAATATTCAGCAAGATTTTACTATCATATGATGTTAATAGTATTGTTCCATAATTTCCACATTCTATTGGATCTCTTTTTTGGAATAGGAAAAAATATGGATTTATTCCAGTCCACTAACCAGATAACTGTCTTCCAAATATCTTGGCATAGACTAGAGGTACATCCATGACTGTATCTGTTTGAAACCTGTCAGTCAGTATCCCATCAATTCTTGGGGCCTCATTTTTGTAATAACTTCAGTGCAGATTGAACTTCATCCTTCTTTACCATTGATTTTTGATCAGGCTACTACTTGAAGTGGTTCACTGTCTACGAGTTCTTTTTGATACAGTGACTCTGTATATTCCTTCCATCTTCTTTTGATGATTCCTGCATCATTCAAGATTTTCATAAGATCCTTCAGTATTGCAGCTTGAAGCTTGAATTTGTTCTTCAGTTCTTTCAGCTTGAGAAATACGGAGTGTTGTTATTTTTCGCTTTCAAGCTAGATTCAGAAGAGGCTGTGATGCAGGGATACCAGTACTGAAGCCAGATGGATCTTGGCTGAAAGCAGAGAATACTAGGAAGATGTTTACTGGAATTTTATTGACTATGCAGAAGTATTTGTCAATGTGGAGCATAACAAATTATGGATAACATTGAGTAGGATTGGAATACCAGAAACTAAATTGTGCTTATGTGTAAATTATACATAGATCAAGAGGCAGTTGTAAGAACAAAACAAAAGAACACAGCATGGTTTTGAATCAAGAAAGGTGTGCATCAGAGTTATATGTATTATCCATTCCTATCCAATCTATAGACTGAGCAAATAATTAGAGAAGCTGGACTATATCAGAAAGAATGTGGCATCAAGATTGGAGGAAGGCTAATCACTAATCTATATTGTGCAGATGATACAATCTTGTTTGCAGAAAGTTATAAAAATATTGCTTGCAAATGCTGAAGCACTTGTTGCAGAAGAACAAAGAATTACATTTTGACC